ATATATTCACATGTATATATACATATATGTATTCATGTACGTGTATGTACATATATATATATATATTTTCGTCTGCCTGTCTGTATGCATGTAATTATGTGTGTTTGTATGTACGTATGTACATATGTACATATGTATGTATGTATGTATGTATGTTTTTTGTATTTATGTGAGTATATAATATGTATGTATGCATGTATTCCATTAGCAAATAGACATATGTGCATATATGCTTTAGCTATATCTTTTCTATGCATATTTACCCCTATTCATATATATATATATATAGAAAGAGAGAGATTAAGTAGACATACACATATACAGTCTACCCAATCAAATATATATATATATATATGGTGTATGATAATATTTGATCCTTTCATGTCATTGGTTTATTTTATGTTGTATTGTGATGCCGTTGCTATACTGCAATATATCATATGTATATATATATATATATATATATATACATATATATATATATACACATATATACATATATACATATATATCATTACATCATATTATACTATTGCTATATCATCGAATATGACATAACACATTGTAATATTTTAATTTCAGTACTATATGTTATATGATGTTATAACTATGTATGTGTGTGTACATAGTGTGTGTATGCTCAAGATCTTGAAGCTTCAGGAATGACCCCGGGACGCTGACTCTCTCCTCTGGGGGCCACTACATCTTCAACCCTGGCATGCGCTGAGCCGCCCTAGAAGAGCCAACACCGAATCCGGAAGCCTTCTAAGACCCCGAACCCAGAGTTGCAAAGCTTTCAAGACGCTCCCAGGCGCCATCCCAGCCCATGCATATACCCACGGGTATGATGCAGTTTTCTGCACCCTTGACCGAGTGATCTAGGGAGGTGAGACGCAACCTGAATGTTTAATTCCATTGTACAGAGGCGTCCTTAAGGACCGAACAGAGATCTTAGGCGCGAGAGCGGTGGGCAAGACTCGTACTAACTATAGGCACGTGAGTACACTCCAGGTCTCTGAACCCTGTAGGCCTAAACTCTGCACGCTTCACCACGAGCGGCAGACGATTCCCTCAACATGTCGACTGTAGTGAGCTGGTGGGCATGTATTTGTTTGTGGCTCGGTGCAGAGGATCTTAGCCATCAGGTGCAGTCTTTAAGTCCTCAGCGCTTGGAGGCACGATGTGAGAAGCGTGATGAAGTTTACATTTTAAAGCCCTTGACTCCCGATCTTGTCAAACCGTCGAAGGTCATGGTCAGCCTCGACAGACTTTAGGGCGGGCTCTGATTGAATAAAGCCATTGCAATCAAATCAAAGCATCCGAAGTTCTAGACTAGCCGACTAGCCAACGTGCTCACGATGCATGACAGGCCGACCACCCTACACGGTAAGCAGCCGCACCATCTCTTGCGCAGCACAGCACGATTTGGCCCACTGGGGAAGTGGGCAGCTTTGGCCATGAGGGAGGTGGGCTTGCGGAAGTTTGGCTGCTTTTTCGGGTTGCAACACTTTCGTAACGCAAGGGGGAAGTGTTTCGGTTTGCGGCTGTTGGTTCATGGTGTAAGATTTTCGAGTTGAGGATTCTGTTTAGGGATCTCGGGTTTAGACAAGCATAAGTTGCTGGAGCCCCTGCTCAAAACAAAAGGCATTCAACAGTTGGGTGCGTAGAGTCATATTTGCTTTCATTTTTTAGTTGTAGATTGAAATGGCATGATTGGCATGTTAGAGAATGTTAGGCTTTGCCGGGGTACGGCTTAAGCCCTTGCTGAGCTTCGAGATGCAGCCTAGCAGCATCCTGTAAAAGTTTGCGCTCGGGTGAAAGGTGGTGTGTGGGTGAAATAGAAGGAGCCTGACTCCCGGAAAAGCCCATGTGGCGTCCATGAGAAGTGCCTAGGATGCGGAGACTGAGCCGGCATCCTAGAATGCAGAAGGCCCTTGGCAGTGCGGGAGACCGGGGCATGGCAAAAAGCAGCCGTCGTGAGAACTTGATCTGCCCTTCCTCCTTGAGTCTTCCAACTCCTAGCCCCAAAGGCGTCTCGGGGTTGCGTCAGTCAGTCGGTGCCGAAATTATCCATGTGTAGAGTTGCTTGTTTTTCAGCCTTTGCGCGTGGATTGTTTCCAGGGCTGCCTGATTGCCTGGGCATGCCCAGGCCGTTTAGGCTTTTAATAATTCAGGTCATACGTCTCGTCTTGGTTTGGTCTCCTTGGCCGGGATCCCCTGCGCGAGTATTACTGGCTCTTTATTGTGTTGCCATTCGAAAAGGAACCGCGCAAACTGCACGATCAATGGTATGTTTCAGGAGTAGTAGTAAGTATACTTCCACAAGGAAAACTGCCTGGCTAAGGACTTACTCCCTGAGAGTCTTCAGTCCGCAAGCTGGGCGCAACCCCGGACAAACCCGTAGAATCCCACACCCTAAAGGCCTCGACAAATTTTAAGCTTCAATTTCTAATGCCAAGCTGAATCCACAAGTCCGCAAAACACCCGCAACACGGAAGATCAGCACCCATACACCGCAAAAAAGCATGGCTCGCTGTTACAATACGGCCGCCTGCAAGGAATGCTGTATAGTCTGGGTCCCTCTTACATGTCTAAGACCGACGCTACGAGGAATCCTCGTCTGGAAGGCTCCAAGTCTATGCCTGACCCCGCTTGCGTTGTCCGGACTGCAGGCTGTCTCTATTGTCAATAGGATTGTTGCTTCTGTTGTCGTAATGAGGGAGAGCTCAGGATTCCGGGCCTGCAAGTGCAATTAGGATGAATGTCTCAGGACAAACTGATTGGAAATTGATCTTGAGCTCTGCAGTTTCTGTAAGTCTACTTCCGTGGCCTCAGGTCCACGCCGAGCTCCTTCAATTAAGATTCAATGGTTTTAGTGACTCATGGCATTATAATTAGCAGGTAGGGTTCCATATCTCTGACTATTCTCAACCTTCTGGTTCCGGAAGCCTGGATCGACCGCTGCATCCTTGCATGCCCTCGCGTTTTTGTCGTGAGATGGTGTTCCACTTGCTGCGCGAGATTGTGCAAAAACCAGCTGCCAAGTCATGACTTTGAAACCTTATATCGACCCAAAGGCCGTTGGCACTAATTATTAGGCTGGAGCGGGTCCCGACAGATGTAAGGTCCTTCAGATGTAGATGGCATCAAATGGGTTGAGATTAGGGGATTACCGGCCCCTGGACCCACAGCTTGGCGCTTACTTACATGCTTAAGACTCCTACGGGATTGTGATTCTCCTTGGCTTGCGATGCAGCGGGATGACTCGCTGCCAGAGATCTATGGCGGAGACCCCGGGTCCCGGCCTCAGAGCTCTTTCTCTAGAGGGCAGAGAGCGCTAGGACTTTGTTGGTCCCCAGGCTCAGGCACTTCAAGCTTCCGAGATGCCCACGTTTCGACCATGGAAATCAAGTCTGTCTTGCATATATTCAGCACCGTACCAGTAGGAGACGGTAGCGGTATGCGAAGATGTTCAGCTCTTTGTTGGGGCTGGCCGTGTTCAAGGGCTTGGGCCGAGAAACAACAGTCTGGAAGCCGGTGTCGCCTTGAAGTTCGATGGCGAGCTTAGGGAGTCACTTCTGAAGGGTTATCGACCTGGAGCGGTCGAATACTAGAGACCCCAGACCCCAGACCCCAAGCACGGCCATTCCTAGGAGAGGTCGAGGTCTCGCCGACCTCAAAGGCAGGGGACATATTTTTGTTGTTCTTGACCTAAACATGCCTTTAGAAGGCTTTGATACGATTTCAGGGTTCGAGCTGATGCTGCAATGCTCTCCTCAAAACCAACAAAATTGTGTTTCCGAATCAACTTGATATCATGAGCACAGATTTTCGGGATAAGTGTCGCAGTACGGAATGGATGGCAGCATTGGGGTGTGAGTCATTTCAGAAGCTTGGGTTTTACTGCTCCAGCCTTGGTTTGGTACAGTGTTCCCAAACTCGAGGCTCAAGGGTTCAGAGAGAGCCTCGCCCAGCCTGTGCGGCAGGCCGTCGAAGCTACTTAATTGGCTAGGCACCACCTTACATTCTCAGTCGCTCAACGCCTCTGCAGACTTGTGGTCAAGTCATGCTTCTGTTGGCATGTGGTTCAGAGCTTTCAGCTGTTGGCCCAAGAGCATTTCTGTTTCGGCATTCACTGATACACCATTGTAAGCCTCACACGCGTAGATTTTTAGGAGCATGTCCTGGCAGGTTGGGATCCACTGGACCGGCGCATCGAAGTGGAGAAGAAGGAAAAGTAGCTCAGCTGTGATGTGGGAAACGACGCAACTGCTGGAAGAATGACGGCCCCTCCATGCGTATAGCATATGATGTCCGGAAGCCGTTCTTGTCATCAGGCCCGCAGTTCAGCGGAGGAGCTGTTCCTCACTTGTTCGTCCATGCTGGGGAAGCTTCTACCAACAACACTGCTCTAAGTCCTGGGACCGCGCTCCTCGAGCGAAGCCTTACGCCCGAAGCCGGTGGTCGCTGAAGCTCCCCTGCTCTCTTGGAACCAAGTCGAATGCTAGAGGCCGACAGAACCGTCCTGGGTTCCGTCTCAGTCTCGTCTAGCCAGAAAGCCGCAGGGTTGGAAGCTTCAGGGCTTTGTTCAGGGTTCAAGGTCGTAAGGCCGTAGACCTGAAAGCGCACGGGTGCGAATGAAGACCCAAGCTCTTGAATCCTGGCACCCCGACTTGCCCTTCTTGTGCATTGCTTGTAGATTTGTTCGTGACCCTTTGGGGTCGCAGCCCCAGAAGACCCAAATCTTCAAAGACTCTTGAGCCCCTCAGAGTCTGTTAGTCCCAACGTCAGCCCCGGCTCCTGAAACAGGGGGCGGCGGTTGGACGCTGGACTTCAGTCGTCACTAACCAAACGATGACGGCACAGGTACGGCCAAGCGCTGCGTGACCAAATGGCCATGAGCCCCGGCAATGAAAAGAGTGCCCTGGGGCCAAAACACGGCCTACAGAGTCGAGCTTGTTCGAGTCTCTGCACCGCTTGGGAGCTAGAGCTCTTGGCTTCTGGTCCGGGCTGCAGAACTCGTAGGGTTTATGTGGTTTGCGCTCGAGGCCTGCTACAAAAGGCTAGGACGTATAGGGCGCCACCATCCTAAACCTAAATTCCTAAAGCTAGCCTTGTGCGAGTGTGAGACTCGAAAATTCCTAAAGGAGCCCCCTGCAGTGAACAAAATCATCTTATAGATGTCGGGATCAGGGCAGGCTCTTCGAGTCTTAACACAAGGAGGTGCACGATGCCTGGATCTGGGGTTAGTGCTTTGGCGGAGGACCTGACAAAAAACCGGTGTTGGGCTCGCTGCAAGTCTGTCACTTCATGCGCACCAGCCGTTAAATCTGAATTCCGAAGACAGAGCCCTTCGAGAACACGGCAGCTACCCTTCAAGAGCTTAGATGCCATATCATCGTCGAGGTATGAGTGAGGCAAGTCCACAAAGTGCCCTGACCATGTGCGCGCAAGACAGTTGGGACAGAAATGCCCGACAAACCATCCTTTCCTGGATTCTGAGGCCTAAGCTCTTGTGCCCTGACCTGCATGCTCTTCCTCTTCGACATCCCTTAACATAGGATTATTTGTTGGGCCCCGAAAGCACCGTATAAGGATCCTTGGATACTGTTAAGGACGTAGGAGTTTGCCACTGTTTGCCAAAGTCAGGAACAGCGCCCGGGGCACCGGCGAGGTGACGTCGACCTCTCCTTTGCCGCCAAGCCGCGGCAGCTCTTCCACCCGGGCCGCCGGGGAGGTCGCAAGGTCTTGAACTGTGTTCTCTTAGGTGCTTTCTCAAGTTGCTTGATATGTTTTCTAGGTTTAGTTTACGTTTACGGGTTTCCAAGCTTGGGGTTATGCGGGGGCTGGGTTTCGGGTTCAGGGTGTAGGATTGTCGCCTTGAGCCCTGGGTGCGGCTTTGGGGCCTTATTAGTTTCGGGTTCATGAGAGTCCGGGCTCTGAGTGCGCCCTCGAAGGTCTTGGGAGTGTGGGTCAGTCGGTTAGTCCAACGATTTGGAGCGGCTTTGGAGCTGCTTCAAGCGTGAACTTCTGAGTCATGGAGAGCCTGAGGTTCGGGCATCGGCTTGTCTGTACAGGGATCCGAGGATGACCCTTAATCCTTTGTCAGCCTGATTTGTGGTTGATGATAGCTTCGCGGCCGCGGCCTCGGGGATGGAAAATCACCCCGCGCAAAACTTGGCACCTACTGAGGCCTTCAGACCACGCCCTTCCTTGGACCTCTTGGGTTTTGAATCCCCGAGGCCTCAACCTTGCATCTACAAGGCACCATCTTACGACGGCTTTGTGTGTTTGTAGAGGCGCAGGGCCTCAGGGTGTTAGGGCATCTGGAGGGCCGAAGTAGTGTGTATAGGGAACCTAAAGCTTCCCCAAAGCCTGAAGTTTTCCATGTAGCAAAGCGTCTGGCAACTGAAGCCCCTTCGGTTGAGATCTGGTAAGGAACAATACAGGAAACATACAAGCGCTAAGTGCATCTGTAGATCGTGCGATAACGGTCATCAATGACTGGTATTGTCATGGTTCCTGTGACCACGTTGTAGTGATGAGCCGAGCATTCAACTCTACATACAGGAACGAAATAGGACCCGAAGCCTGCCTGGGGCAGGTGATCGCCTCTCCGCACTCCAGTGGGCTGCCACTTGGGGGGGGGCACGGCACCGACGCTGTGGCGGCCGCTAAGGCGGTTTTTCTCTGACCGTCAACCCTGTTGTAAATGATAAATGCCAAAAAGAGCTTCTAAATCTTGAACCTCCCATTTAAACGTATCTGCAGCAAAAGAGCCGGAAAGGGTTTTCAGTTTAGGAAATGACTGGGCTGCTGGTACTGTGAGAAAGTTTCAATTCAACGATTCTACGGTTGACTACAGGCAGGACGGAGTTGTTCAGAGTTCAGCGGTTGATCTCACCAGCGTATTTTGGAGTTGCTGTGTTTTGGGTGGGATGAGCCCGACTTGTCTGTTTTGCTTGGATCGCCAGGTTACTTTATTTGATTGGAGTGGTACTTAGAATATCCCCACGGACATCACTTCCCAGTTTGGGCAAGCAAGTAGAAGCACTTGGCCATGGGGGTGCTGGCTTTCGTAACCCGTGCGTATGATGGTGATGGTGAGAATGCTGACGATTATGATGAAGCCGATGATGATGATGATGATCACCATCTTCTTCTTCATGACGTGATGATGATGACGACGATGATGATGACGACGATGATGGCGGTTCAAGTTCCAGGCTTGGAGTGTAAGGCCGTGCTGAGTGCGGGCATTCTGGTGCACGACCACGGTGTTTTGGGATATGCCACTTTAAGGCCTCGACTGGTGTTGTTGCCGTTTTGGCTGCGTTTGAGTGAACTGTTGTGGTCAGAGTTAAATTTAGTCGTGCGAGCGCAGGTTTTGAAATCGCGGCACAACCGCATAGGGTTTAGGCCTTGTTGAGGCCTGAGCTCCTTAGCCGTCTATAGCCCGCCTAAGCAGACGGGCAACGAAAAAGCAGCATAATTCACGCCACTTGCATGCTGCAGAGTTGCGCAGGTGGCCCAAGTGCAAGAGATGATGCGGCAGCGCTTGCAGGCAGTGCATATCCGCGGCAGTCAGCAAGTTTTGGACACAGCACTTTTAAGATTGGGGTGTTTCTGGCGTTTTGGTGGCCTTAACATGTCCTGAATCTTTGTAGCTCATGTTGTCTTTCTAACTGTTCACTTTGCGGCATGACATTCATGGGGTCCTTCGCTTGAGTTCTGCCGGCCTTCCACTTTATCTCTCGGGTGTGCAGCTAGAGAAGGCTTTCCCGGCGTAGCATCAGTTTATGGTCGTCAACATCATTTGCGTGTGAAACCAATGAATAATTCATAATAATTCCAATCTCGCAGTCATTTCTGGTGGGGTGGCGGGGCTCCTAGAGCTGTCTGCTGCATCCTCCTTTGCAGTCATGCCTGAAGTGTCACACAGCAAGCATGAAGCATTGCTAGAAGACGCCATTTGGTTGCACTCTGGATGTAACCGGTTGTTCGATCTTTAGACTTGAGGTTTTCGGATCGGGTCATTGGCATTTTTCTGATCGCCGTCTCGCCCTCTTTCCTTCATCTACTTGTCGATCAACCTACGGCTTGCAGGCAAATATAACTTGGATCAAAAACGCCCCGCGCACGCACATTTCATGCATGCCTGAGCTTGGACGCGTGTGCAACAAGCGGCAACTGTGCTCATTACAGGCACATGCACTACTGCATACAAAAAGACAGTACAAGTCTTCAGGGGCACCTGAACCGTTCGTGTTTTCGTCAGGGCTTGAGACTTAGACTGTGTTCAGTACCGTAGCTGAGCCTTTTTCTCAAAAGCGCCGTGCAGGCATCGTTACTTCAAAAGCTGAGGCAAGACGAGCAGCAGCGGCAGTGGCATGAGGTACAGCATGCTCTGAGCTTTGGATGTGCTTGAGGCTGCTATAGTACCCCTAAAATTAGCAGGGGCGATATCTGCATCGACTACCTTCTATAAACAAGTATTATTTATAAGTAGTGCCACCACCACTAGCACCAGCACCACTTCTGATTCTGCTTCTACTTCTAATGCTCCTACTACCAGGGCTCCTGCTGCGACTACGGCTACGACTACGTCTATTATTATTATTACTACTACTACTACTACTACTACTACTACTTCTGCTACTACTACGACTACTACTACTACCACCACTACTACTACTACTACCACCACCACCACTACTACTACTCCTGATGCTGCTCCTGCCTCTACGACTACGACCACGACGACCGCTGCTTCTGCTACCGGTCCTGCTACTGCTGCTGCTGCTACTACTGCCACTAATGCTACTCTACTCCTGCTGCGGCTGCTGCTACGACTGCCACTACTACTGCCACCACTACTACCACTACCACTTCCACTACTACTACGACAACAACTACGACTACCACCACGACCTACTACTACTACTACTACTACTACTACTACTACTACTGCTGCCAGTACCAAAACCATCCAATGCCACTGCCACTGCCACTGCCACTACGACTACTGCTTGCAACTGCTCCCGATACTTTTACTGCTGCTACTGCTTCTACTCCTCACCCCGTTCGCCAGCTTTCGCCTTCTTCAGCTGTTCAAACAGAAAGCACGCAGCTGAGGAACAGCCAGCTTCAAGCCGCCCGCGAAGCCGCAGAACAGGCTGTGCATCGCGAGTTTGCCGAGGCGATGAGGGGCCAGGCCAGGACAGTTGGCATCGTAGGCAAGTTTTGTTTTGGTTAATTTAATTATTCGTCATTCCATCGCAACCCGCTGGGATCCGCTGGGTGCTGCAACGCGTGATCGCGCCATGACTTTGCGCAGGATCCCACGGCTTTTGTCTCAACCGTTTGCATGTTGCACGACTCGACTGTTGTTAAATTTGTGCATTTGCAGGACCAAGGTAGGGTTTAGGACCCAAGCTTCAAGGAGGCATCGACTTTTTCCAAGACTTGCTTTTGATGTCCCCGGAGGCCATGGAGATCGACTCCTTGAGACGTGGCCTCGACGAGGTCCTATCCGCGCAGCGCGCGCGGGAGGAGCGCTCAAGCCCCCAACCCTCTCGAAGTTGTATACGTATATTTATGTATTCACATGGACTGACTCTATGACCCCTATGAGACAACAGGAGCTCCAGGGCCACCGGGCCGAAGCCTTGGCCGAGGAGTTGGCCGGGGCGCGGCAGGCGGTGCATCGACTTGAGGCCGAGTCCGAGGGATGGCGGAGCCAACTTCAAAACCTAGGGAGCGCGATGCAGGAGCTCTCAAGAGCAAGGCAAGACCAGGCAACACAGCAGGAGGTGGTTTCGCGGGAGCTTGCAGATGCCCGAGCCTCCATGCAGCGGATGCAGGCCCAGTCGGAGGACTTCCAGTCCCGACTTCAAAGCCAGATGCAGGAGATGGAGCGCATGCGCTCCGACACGCAGGAGTGCCTGCGGGAGAACGAGGCATGCGCCCGGGAGAGGGCGCTGCTCTCCCAGAGATTACAGGAGGTGGAGGCCGGACTCGGAGATGTCCGGAACCAGCCAGGGCCTCATGCAATGGCGGGATGCGAGTGTTTCTTTACAGCCCGTGTTCTTTTGAACTTTGAACAACCAACTACCGGGTAAATATGCAGACTTAATGTATATACATTCACATTAGAATATGTGCTTAGTTATCCGCATTTATGTCTATGTAAGATTTATGACAGCCTGTTATTCGTATGTCACATGACATGTATTTATATGTTCATGCATGTATGAATATGCACACGCGAAGACATACACACATGTTATGTGTGTATATATTATACTACTTTAGACCAATACTAGACTGCTGCACCAATCTCCCGTTTCAGCTGTTCTGCAGAACTTGCGGCGGCGTCTGGCCGGATTAGTGGGAATAATATTGCGGGTGTACAACCCATGATGTGGGCGAGACAAGCCTCAAGAAACTAATCTGGTGCCTTCGTTCGGCGACAGCCAAGGCTCCGTGAGCACAGCATCGAGATCGAGAAACTCAAGGCACTCCGTGTCAGCACCACCAAACCCCACAAGGCCCTACAGCACCCGAAATGTTAACCAACACTTGGAAGGGGATTTATGCCAACGACGATGATTATGATGTTGATGATGATGCTGATGATGATGATGATGATGATGATGATGATGTTGCTGATGCTAGTCGGTTGGCCTTCAAGCATATAGATTCAGAATGTGAGCTGTTTCACAGCTCGCAGCAAACATGTAAGTCCTTTGCGACATGAGACCTCGCCGTGGTGGCATGTTCTGTAGAGCTCTTGTTTTAAGCCCTGTGACCACCGCATCATGCCGAACCGGAACAACTGCTGAATCGACGCATGCTCCATTTTGGTCGGATTGCTCTTTGTGGGCACGGGGACAGGTCAGATCGGAAAGACCACAGTGCAAGCAGCGATCCAAAGCCGAAGCACATCAAACCGTCAATGGCTCCAAACTCAAACAGCAAGAACTGAAGCACTCTATCCGCCGAACCTTGTGCGAGTGCACGTGCTCAATCAGGTTGGACACCAGGAGTGTGCAGGAAGCTCAGCGACAGAGTTGCTGTCTTAGCTTCGGCTTCAGACTGGCTGTAGCCTCGGCCATGAACTTTGTGACCAAGGCCGAGTCACGAAGACATCCGAACACCACAACTCCTAAAACCCGAGACCTCTGGCCCTAGCCGCCCCAGTAGCCCTAGTACGCCCTAGTCACTAGTCCTGTCCTGAACTTATCGTGCTTGCTTCGGCTTTCGAAGAGATGCTTTGCGCTTTGGGCTTTCTTTTGAGGACTACCCCCCTTTTGTTTTAACTCCCCTTCACAGCGACCGCAAAGTCAGAGTTACTGCAAGCAGCTTTGGTTCACTCGGCTTTGTGGTCGCCATTCAGTGCTCAAGCAAGCTGGATGCAGAGAGGCATCCAGGTGTCATTATGGACATAGTGGTGGTTGCCACATTTCAGGACCAAAGCGCCTGTCGATGTTTTGTCACACTGATGCCAATGCTTTAATCGCATACTTGAAGGGAGTCAGTATCGTGGAAGGGTGTGTATTAAGCTTGAAGCACATCACACTAGTGACAGCGCCTTTGTGTCCTTCAACTCCGCGGTCATGTATTTCCCGTTCGCTTGGTAAACCGTCTACCCGCATCCGAGCATGCAGTATGCCGCAGTATGCCCCATGCAAGTGGATGCCTTCTGCCTTCCGAATTGCAACAGCAAGTGCCAGGGTCTATTACCACCCCTCATCCTGCAGGAACGTCAATGTTGCTGGACACCCAAGTCCTGTAAGTCATTAAACCCCAGACTTTGAATCATTAACCTTGCTTGATGCGGCCAGGACTTCGATGAGACGCAAGATAAGCGTCAGCGAGGGCCAGGGTGTGATCGCAAGAAGGCTTCTGCACGTACCCGTTTTGGGTTTCCGGGCTGATCGAGCTTGTCAGCTTATGTCTTGGAGCTGTTGGACTCGTTTCCGTTGCATTTTTATCGTCTGAGCGTTAAAGCCTATGCAGGGAACATCGCTGAACTCAAAGGCAGAGGACCTCATACTTTGTTTGTGGTCCTGTGGTTCTTCTGGATGCTCTCCGGTTGACCAAGCTCTGTCTGACTGGCTTCGACTAGCCAAGCGCAAACCCAGCGAGCTGGAATTTTATAGGGTCCGGGAACAATGTTTGCGAAAGGCAAAGAAATGCAGTCTCAAAATCATGCGAGATTCAGGAAGGCCCTTAGTTATCACGAAAGACAACAACAACAGACAATCATGTTTGACACATACCATAGCATGGCATTCGGCTTGTGCGTGCATACTTCCTGGCAGGCCTCGCAAGCATTGATCCGCCACCTGTGTGCTCAGCCGCAGGCAGGACGTGAAAAGACGAACATGCTAAAATGGTAGCTACACAACAACTGCGTCAATTGTGGTAGTGAAAGTAAGTTCATAATCGTGATGATAGAAGCAGGTGTAGTCGCGGTGGTGGTGTTGGTGGTGTTGTTGCTGCTGCTGCTGCTGTTGCTGCTGCTGTTGTGTAGTGGCAGCTGTACTAGTGGCAGTGGTAATGGTAGTAGTCGTCGTCGTGGCGGCAGGCGTAGCAGTCAGCGGGAGTAGGAGTAGTAGGAATAGTAATAGTAGTAGTAGTAGTAGTAGTAGTAGTAGTAGTAGTGGTGGTAGTAGTAGTAGTAGTAGCAGCAGCAGTAGCCCTAAACCCTAAACCTAAACCCTAAACCCTAAACCTTAAACCCTAAACCC